GAACTGGGTGGTTTTTGTTTAGTTGCAACAACATATCCCGACAGACAGTACGTCCTGTACCCTGGTGGTAAGATTTCAATACATTGGGTGTGGTCTCTGTGTAGGTGCATCAACGTCTGGACATTACTCTATAAAACTGTGCGGACCGTTTCGTTTGGCGCAATTATCTGTCTGGCAATGCCTGGCTTTTTCGAGCCATTCTGCCACAGATTAACAAATTTGCGGAGCAGTGCATAGCTCATTTTACACCTTGCAAAACTGACCACTTGCATGCCTAATTTCAAATTCTTCTATGCGGTAGTTACCGACATATGGATACTTTTTTGGAAGAACCATGCTTTGCCAAAGCCAAGCTTTGACCTGCCCAAAAGAATGTAGGGGTCCATGTTCCACCCTACCCAGGTTCTTCTAATATTTTACCTGTCACTGATGCATGGGAGAGGGAACATATCCACAGACTCACATATTCAGTTCCAAGTCTAAAAGTCCTTTATTAGGTCCAAACATTCATCCTTTATACCTATTATCTCCAGGGAATCTATCCGCATGCCACAGTGGCAGCAACTCATTTAAATACTAATTGCAATGCAAAAGATTACAAGTGAATGAAAGTTATATCAGTTCTACTTATCAGGTATACCTATACAGAGGATGATAAATATTCATTCAAGACTGAAGTAAGGTGAATGATAATATGCTGACTGATTACAAGTATAAACATAATATGTAAATGAGTGATTTCATCACATGCATTTAGTGGACCTTAACATATATTCCTTCTTTTCCCACAAAAAAAAAAAAAATTATGGTTACATAATTTTTTTAAATAAAGATTCCACAGAATGCTCAAAGATAAAATTTAAACAGCTAAACACTTATACAAAATATCTATGTCATGATTCAATTACAAAAAAATCAAAATATTATTCTGTCAAATATCATTTCTTTAACTAACAATTGTAATTAATTCAGTTCATTGTCTATTGCATTGCTGTACAAAGACATCATTATTCTAATGAAATTAAATTTGAATTTTTATGCTTCCAAAATATTTTGACAGAGATAAATGTCCAGTTATCATACAGATTGTTTAAACATCTTTTCTAATGGACTGTACATTTAAAATCTCATCAGTTAAACAATTCAGTATCAGGTATATCACGAAACTAAATTCTTTCTTCCATAATACATGTTGGAAATTTACCATTTTTAAATAAAAAAAAAATACCATCACATATTCTTTATAATTCAATTAAACCATATCTGTAAACACAATTTATCTTGTTATTTTCAAATATTTAAGTTATGAATCATTTGGTGCAATTTTACAGTGAACATGGAAACAAGACTATCAAATACTGAACTGAGTGGTGAATAGCTTATATCAACATATCTACTTTTTCTGAACCTACTGCTCTGACAGATTTACCATCCTTTAACTGAATAAAAAAAACATATCTTAATTTGCAGTGTGGAAGAAGTGTCCATTTCAGTTTCTTTGCCATAAACTTTCTCTGCACCTTTTTGTTGTCTCTGTGAAAATCCCATTTTACACCTGTCCATTCTTTTGCATTCTCATAAACATTTTCTGTGTCTGAACCTTGTTTGTCTTCATTCTCTACAACTTTAAGTACCTCCTCACTTGCACTTTGTTTTTCATTCTCTTCAACTTCTTCCTCACCTTCACTTTGTTCCATCTCTACTTCAGTAGGTTTGTCTCCGTCTGTATTTTTGAAATTAGAAAATTCCATTTCCATCCGTTCATCATTAAGTCCTTCATCAGCATTCTTTACATAATCCGTTACAGCATTTTCATCTACACCATGTTTCTCCACATACTTTGGGTCATCACCATCATCAAGTCCTTTATCCGTATTCTTTACATCATCTGTTAAAGCCTTTTCAACTACATCAGGTTTCTCATAATACTTCAGTTCACCCATTTTACTCTCACTTCCGATTAATCTGTTGTCATCATCATCATCAGTTTTCAATCCTAGCTCTTGTTCTTGTTCTTTCTCGACATACCCTTCACATTTCTCCCCTTTCTTGAAATCAGTTCTCTTTTCTACCTCTGGATCATTTACAATCATAATGTCCTTGCTGAGTTCATTCCCATCATTTTCCTCACCTATATCATGTTCCTTCACAAATTCCATCATACATTCATCTTCTTTAGCCGTAGTCAGTGTCTCATCATGAGTTCCCTTCTCCATTTCTAATAATTCATCTACTTTGCCTTGGTTTCTTTCTTTAACTTCTTGTTTCATTTCAGATTCTGCAGTAATGTCATTATTCTGTTGCTGCAAACTGCCATACTGTCTCTGTAACAAGTCGGCTAGCTTGGACAGGCATTCTACCAGTCTGCCGTTAATATTATAGTCCTTTTCAGAATCGCAGTCATCATCTTCGTACGCATACTCATCTTCAAAGTTGGATCCATAGTTGTATCCCTCCCCCGCAGTGACCCTGGTCGAGCTCGCCATTATGTAGGGGTCCATGTTCCACCCTACCCAGGTTCTTCTAATATTTTACCTGTCACTGATGCATGGGAGAGGGAACATATCCACAGACTCACATATTCAGTTCCAGGTCTAAAAGTCCTTTATTAGGTCCAAACATTCATCCTTTATACCTATTATCTCCAGGGAATCTATCCGCATGCCACAGTGGCAGCAACTCATTTAAATACTAATTGCAATGCAAAAGATTACAAGTGAATGAAAGTTATATCAGTTCTACTTATCAGGTATACCTATACAGAGGATGATAAATATTCATTCAAGACTGAAGTAAGGTGAATGATAATATGCTGACTGATTACAAGTATAAACATAATATGTAAATGAGTGATTTCATCACATGCATTTAGTGGACCTTAACAAGCACTACCCAATTAAATCACTGCATATTACATAATGCAGCAGCGCAACAAACCTGGAATTCAGTGAATTGGAAGCGACACACCTGACTACACACTTCTCCATTCACATATCTTATATGAGATCTGAGTTTTTTGAAAAAAGGATGCATTTTTACCTAGGCATACCTTCGAAACTGAAATATTCCATATTAAATGTCAAGTCTGTANATATATATATATATATATATATATATATATATATATCAAACAAATGGAATTTCCCCTGTAATATTTTACAAGAAATATATATATATATATATATATATTGCCATGAGGACATATTTTCAACTTACCGGTCCATACACAGTGACTTCAACTGGAATGAAAAATATGTAAACTTGGACTCTAAATGTAGAAGCTTCCACATTTGTGTGATGTATATGGATAACAAAATGAATTATGAAATGAGACGTATTTTTTGACAAGGAAATAATGAAAAAATTGTAAAATTCAAGTAATTTTTCAAGAAAAATAAACAATCATGGAAAAAGTTAGAACTACTTGGAGTGGAGGTAGCATAAAATCTATTTTATTTTACCTTAATTCTTTACCTTTTTAATTATGACCTTGCCCATTAGGGTTTTTACCTTTGTAATTATGACCATGCCCATTAGGGTTATTGCATTTGCCAAAGATACTCTGGTTGCTTTCAACACTCAGCTGGTTACTGCAATATCAGTACAGATGCATAGACAAATCTTATATATATGCAAAATTCATATATTTCAAACACATATGTAATTATTTAATAATTTGCACCTTAAATAAATAAAGCCTGGATTTGTTTTTAGCAATTAAACTTGCATGCAGTTCATATTTTGCACAATATCATATAAATTTCAAACTGGCCCAGGTGAGATTCAAAATATATGGCATTTGGCCAAAGCAGACTACCACAAAACCTTAACTGTGGCATTCATAATATTATATAAAATGTATGCATTTACCTGTCATTTGTTCTATTAATTAAATACATTTTGTAAATTTTAAAAATACGTGGTATTCAGGAGACGTCAAGTTATCTAAATATATTAATATCAAATCATATCAGATTTTTAAAAAATAATTAAGAGCAAAATATTATTCCAAGTTAACATTACCTGTGTAATCTGTGACAAGCACTGAATGTTTCACATTTTGTAATATAAACTTTGGGCTGCAATTGTTTTCCGGGCACTGAATTCTCAACTTTTTGTTTATCTAATTGATTCATCCTTGATGATTAACCAAATTTCCCAGTTATCCTTTACTGATGGACTTCAAAATTAATAAATATAATAATGAAATATTTTATAAACCTTGTGTATTAATGTCTTTCAAAGCAAGCACTCATTTATTTTAGGGATAATTTAATACTGCACAAGATTTTAATAATAGTATTATCAGGCAAAAAGAAATCTACTTGTACATATTAATTAATTAAGGTACATTTAATTGACACAAAACTACTATAGTAGTTATATATATATATATATATATATATATATATATATATATATATATATATATATATATATATATATATATATAGTTACAACTGAAATAGTTGACTTTCATATATATTTGTACCTTAATTAAATGCACTTAAAAATCCATGCAAAAAACGTCAATACACACAATGAAATGTAAGTCATAACACGAAGTGTAACAAATTATACATTTTTTTCTCGTTTTTACCATGAAAATCAATACTTACTAGTCAAAATTCACCCTGCATGCCTTCTAGCTGGTGAACATGTAAGGAAGAAATTAACTGTAAAAAACCCAACTGCTCGCCTATTTAATAGCGGCTGGGATGTTTCACTGCATCACTGAACAACCCCTCATCATTCATTGCGTGATAAACACTAACAGTACACAATGTCCCGTACCGCAGACACAATCTAAACTCGTTTGAATCTATACTGCATCATCAGACACGTCCATAAATTATGCTAATAACCAGCCTTTGAGAACGAAATCCTTGATTAAAAAAGTGAACAAGCATGATGATCAAAATTAGTGAAGCAAAAAAAAATTAATAGCAAGTTTTGCTTTAAGGGGGCTAATCCGTCTGACAGTGACAGTGACAGTGGTGAGTCGAAAGTGAATGTCGAGCACTTTTGCAAATTTCTCTTGCTACTGATTTAAATTTGTTTCGTATTGCTCCACAAAAAAATAATTTCTCCTCGTGCAACCTAAATATTTAACGTTAACGTATTAGTTGTCTCAACGCAACCGACCCACAAACAAAGGGCATCATTGCAGCACGTCTTGTAAACAGCTCCCTCTATAGAGTTGGTGTGTAGAAATGGCTGGGACGAGGGAAATTATAACATTACAGTTTGGGCATTACTCTAATTTTGTTGGGACACACGTATGGAATATACAGGTAGAAATCAGTCTCTTCCTCCAAATTATTCTTAACTTAACAGTACTGACTTGGAATCAATGGAAAGGGTTCAACCTTTGATAAATGGAGAGAGAGAGAGAGAGAGAGAGAGAAATGATAATAACATTTACGATGTTGATATTATTTTATTGTACCATTAGTTATTATCATATGTAAACCTGGATTTTTTTTCTTGCGAAGTGCCCATTTTTCTAGAACAAAAATACATTGCTATACACCCTTGATCATGTTTTGTGGTTTTTAATTTCTCTTGGATTTCTTAATTAACATGCACAGTAAAGTGAGTTTCTCGTAAAAACATAAAAGTAATATGATGAGAAGCATTTTTTTGACACATTCTTCCATATACTAACTTAAGGTTTACTTTTGTTTATAACTCACAGAAATATCTACACCATAGATATTGATATTGCACTACATGTCACCTACAAGTATGATATAATAAAATTCATGTATAAAATCAATTTTAATATCCAATAAATACATTATATGCTGCATATATGAAATATGTCATTTCTGCTGTCATACAAATAGTTTGAAATATAATGGAGTCAAGCAGGCCGTTTATACAATTTTTTTGTTGAAATTGCTCAAGGTCCACACTGACAATAATCTTTTTCTTATTCTGAAGTCTCTCCTCAATGCTCTGTGTGGCTTCGATGTTTTTAGATTTTTCATCTTGGTTAGAAAAAGAATTGTCCCTGTCATTCTGTAAACTTTGTACTGCATCCAAGATGACCCTAGCCCCGCGTTCAGACAGTTTTACAGGACTGTGGTCCCACAACAAAAAATGCATCAATGTCTTGAGGAATGAAAATTTCTTGAATCCAATTTTGAGGAAGCAAATTGATGGATTCTTGCGTAGAAGATCTGCAAGCTGAGCTGCATCCTGATCGTCAAAGGAGTGGTTGTTAACCATACAAAGTGTCTGCAAATTTCTACTTTCCAGGGAAGGAGTAATTAGCTGAAGAACCAATTTTCCCCGAAGATCCACATTCTTTATGAAGATTGTTTTGAACCTGCTTAAATCTATCTGTTCATTACTTACTCCAAACATAAGCCTAGTTATTAAGCTGCATCTTCTGTTCTTGAGGAAGTAATCAAGTTTAGAATCCAGGCAACCTATTCCAGTGATAATAAGTCCCTTTTGGTCATCTGTGACTAGAGGTTGAAACTTCAGCATATTAAAGATGATAATGCATACCAAACAAACCCCAAGTTGTATGATATAGAGAAATGAAAAATGAAATTCCATGCTGTGGAAAACTGCTATCCATATTTCCAAGATTGCCCAATAGAAGAGGGTTTTTACAGGCTGTACAAGAGATCGGTAAAATAATAGAACGTAGAAATGAAACTGTGATGGGAAGGGAAGTATTGAACATAAGAGTATGGAAGGCCACAAAGTGGCACACCCTGGATTGGTCAAAGGAGTCCCTATTTTGATTGCCAGATGACTACTAATGGTGTAGAGCAATGCCCATGCCAGAATAATAGGACTATGGTAGAGTACCTCCAAGACATGTTTAAATGTCAATGTTTTTATGTTTCTTCGAATGTTTTCTTCATAAATCTGTTTCTTTCTCCACATGATGACATCATTTTGCTCATATTTTTTGAGAACTTTGAGTAATATTTCAATCTCGGCCTTGGTAACGAAATCGTCAGGAAGCCCTGAAATGTGAAAATAGGTCTCTACCTCAGGTATGCTGTAGTGTGATATCTGTAGCCAGCTGTACTTGTTGTGTAAGTGAACAAACTTCGCAAGGTTGTTCTCCTGAAACCAGGCACTTATCATCAGCGATTCCTTAGCCTGGTAGGAGGCATCCACAAGTTTTTCTTTGAAGTCCAAGTCCCAATTGCTGACACTGGATTGGCTTGGAAGTTTCAACATTGCCAGTGCTTCAAGAGATCTTATTTGAAGGCGGTGAAGCGTTGGTATCAAGATATTCATCTCTTTTGTTTTCATCCATTGTAGAAGATAGGTTTCTTGGTCACTGCTGATTTTCACATGAAAGAAGAACAATGTGAAGACAAGAAAGTTTATCTTCAGCATATGTTTTGAGAATTGTCTACAAGACATATTTGTAATCTTGTTTAGAAATGCCAGTATACAGCTGATACAATCAGGTCTTGGTTGCTCTTTGTCTGTATCCATGGGTTGAGTAGAAAAGTTTGTACTTTTATATACACTGTAGTTACATTTATGGCTTGATTGGTAGGTTCTCTCAAATGGTGGTACCTTACAGCAATGCTCAAAGCTATTCTGCATATGTTCTGATCACTGTGTCTGCCTGGGTTGTCACTGTTACTTCCGATGTCGCTGTCTGAAACAACTGGTTCCTATAACCACTGTTGCTAAGAAATACATATATTTACGAAAGATTTAAATATTGTTGACAATTTAAATTTTTGATGTACTGGCATTGTATTATCTTCATTCTCATTTATCTGTATTATTGTGATTAACGTTATTATGCTGTAAATTGTACCGTACCTATGACAAGAATGTCATGGTAAATAAACTACTACTACTACTACTGCTACTGCTGTCATCATTGCCACCTGAAACATCAGTTCCTATAAACGCCAGACTGTACTTTTGTTTACTTCAAATTTGCTGAGTGGCTTTGAATGTTGAAAAGGGGGGTTGGTTTAGAAAATTAGCCTGATCAGATAATTTTTGTGAAAGTTAAGGATTCTTTTTGGAGGGGTCATGTATTTTGGCTACGTTCACCGAAAGTGCCAAACTGTATTCTTGATTTTCTTCAAATTTACTGAGTAGCTTTGTATGTTAAAATGTTGTAGAATTTCGATAAATGAGTATATGCAATCATAAAAACTCCATTGCAAAGTTCTGCACATTACTTTTAGCCAGCAGTGGTATTCAAATCTCCTGGAGCAATTTGAGCAAAGTGGCAGGAGTTATAATAGTTATTTTATGGGAGTATTTGCCCTCCACATCCTGCTTACTGGTGGGTCGTTCCATGTAAACTCATCCAGCAAGGGTAACCTCTGTCAAGAAACTTATTAATTTTCACATATTTTGTAGATCTTGTAGAGAATAGAAAAAAACATAACATTTTTATTAAAATCTCGGTTGGTTTAAGAGTTATGACACTCCAAAGATACACCCAGATAAGGGATTGCTGTGACTTAAATGACATCTAGATCACAAATGCACTTTAATAAAAGTACACAGTATCCCACTGCTTTGTCACTTTATGTTTTAATGGTGAGGAATCCAATATCATATTGAAAAGGATGTGGCATATTCAAAATGTTTTAAATTTATACTTTGAAAAACTGGTGTCATTTTTCAAAACGAAGGACACCCTACCTGTTTACAAACTTGTAATCTATTAGTAATTTTTCTTGATGTCTCACCCATGATATATGTTTCTGTTTTATGTCATTTAAAAGAGGAAACCTTGAACTATGCTAGTGAAAGCATTAAACCATCTTGTATATTTTGGGAACAAAAATAATATGTGTGCCTTTTCAGTTTATGTGACATTCAAACTTTTTATTTTGACATCTGTGACATTCTCTGGTTTTTTTGACAGCATATAGACGTATCTTCTCTTGCATGGTTTATTCCAGGCACTGATGAGACTTTTCAGACTTTTGTTTGAATTCCAACTTTTTCAGGGTCATTTGGGTCATTATGAATCGTGTACCCTGGACCCCCGGCCAATTTTCCTACTTTTTCAGTGAGGACTGGTCTCATTCCTGATTCTAGGTTAGATTTTAAACCACTTTAGCCTTATATTTCAGCATTCAACCTATTTAAATTTATTAAAAAGTCCCATATTAAAAAAATCTTATATTTTAGGAAAACTCATTTGTGTATGATCCTAAAGCTGCAAAAGGACCCAAAGAGCTAAATCATGATGTCTTATTCAGAGAAGGTCTTACCTTGCATGTAAGTACATGGTAAAGGATTTCCAGTAAATTCTAAATCCCTTGGTCACTTTTAGCCTTGACTATAACACAGTATGTAGTTTTTTAAAAATGAAATCTCTTAGTATGTTTTTGAACATGGTCATTGTTTTTCATGTAATTCAGTAACACCCCAAATTGCCTTAAACATAAAAATCCTGATTACTGATTAATAAAAAATTCTAGATAAAAACTGCTATGCTATCTTAGTTTTAGATTTAAGTTTGAAAAGTGAATGATACGTGTGCCATAGCAAAATTTTGGACATAATCTTAATCAAAGAGATTTACAAATTATTTTAGATATGCTCAGTCTTGGAGAAACATTCGGATTATAAATTGTTTTCTTCCAGCCAATTTATGTTTCCTCCATACCAGAGTGAAATAACTGAAGGAAGTATCTATCTACCTATCTATCTATCTATCTATCTATCTATCTATCTATCTATATATATATATATATATATATATATATATATATATATATATATATATATATATATATATATATATATATATAAACTTTTCTTTCTTTTTTCAGGGAGAGGTGACATATACTCCAAGGTTGGTGGCTTTTGATCTTAAAGGTTAGTGCAAATACTAAGTAGTGTTCAGTTATCTTACTTAAAAATTTCTCAAGTTATTTTTGTGAATTGATAAAGGATTAGATTTGGTTTACCCTTACTTTTTTCAAATCAGTACTTCCCCATTATTTTGAGTAAACAAGCCTGGCATTTTTGTTTAAAAAGTCAAAAAGTTATTTTTATTTACACATTCTTGACTGTCAATAGGTAATTTGCTTCTTAAGATAAATTTTGTTTTTTTTTACAGGCAGTTTAAATACTCTGAAGCAAGAAGGCACCCTGTATGATCTACAGTATGCAGAAGATAAACTTCAGTGGTATGGTAAAGTTGATTTCTGATTTTTTGTCCAATTTTATATTGTTGTTAACTACAGTTGTATTTCTTGATATTAGAAAGGGGAGTTTTGTAAAATATTACTTATTATATCAGCTAAAAAACTTTCATTCAGGTTTTTTGTGTACCATTAATGCTGGATAGCTCATTTTGTCTTAAAATTTGTAAAATAAAGCTACCAAACATATTAAGTATTTTTATGCTTATTTCATTAAAATGCAAATGGTGTCTTATTTTACTTGCTCTAGGCCTAGTGATGTGACACTGCACCAAGTGGGTGTGCCACAGAAGAATGCTTTTTTACGCGATTTGGACAGACAGCAGGTGATAGTCAACTTAGAACCATATTTAGGCTGAGAACTTTAGTCAGTTTTAATCTACTAACCCCTTTAAGTACATTTTTAGTCTACAAACCCCTTTTAGTACAGTTTTAATTACAATGTACTTACCCTTTTAGTACATGGTAAAGAGAAAATGGAACTCAATTGTATCAAAATTTTGACCATAACTTTGACCCATTTTATTTCTAAAAAATGTTTTGCTGTCTGTATGATATAGACCACATTTGAATTTTTTTTTCAGGAAGAATACCTTAGGGGAAAATCAGAGGAAAGTAGTCAAGGTGATGAAGAAAAGACTTCAGAGGAAATGGGTAATGAATTTGTATTATTTATAATACACATGATATGATATGATATGATACAAGGATTTGATACTTAAAAGTTATGGATATAATCTTCTTATTTATTTATTAGTTGAGAACTATGTGTAACGGAAGCCTAATTCCTTTTTCTTCAGTGTAAAAGAGATTTGACTAGTAAATTATACACTATTTGACTGTAGTTCTGATTTCTGATTCTGATTTCCATTTAGATACTGGTGAGGGCACCAGCTCAGAGGATTCTCCACAGGTATTTGGTCCAGCCAAACTTTATAATCTGGATGACAGTGTGAAAGTGTGGTCAGATTTCTTAAAACCTCATCTCCACCCAAGAAGTGTAACAATACTACGGGATTATGAACATGAAAGGTCAGAGGGCAATTTTAAGAAAAATAACAACCAGTTTTCAGAAGGGTCCTGTTCAAACATTTTAAATAAAATATTTGAAGTATTAAGCTGGTCACTAGAGGATCAGATTTATCCTTCAAGGATTATTATGTTTGAAGCACATTGGAGTTTCTGTGGTTGGTAAGATAACAGAGAGACAACCCATAGGTTTTCTGGTATCTTTAACCTTAAGATTAACCCTTCTATTCTAGTGAATGCAATCCATTTANTTAAACATTTGAAGTTTTTAGCTGGTCACTAGAGGATCAGATTTATCCTTCAAGAATTAAGACGTCTGAAGTACATTGGTGTCTCTGTGGTTGGTAAGGTAAGAGAGAGACAACCCTGTTTAGCTTTTATTTTTATAGGCAGTGTGGTACCTTTAACAAAATTAACCCTTCTATTCTAGTGAATGCAATCCATTTAATGTGTATGGGCAGGGTAAGCAGGTCTTAACCAACAAAAGGTTTCGTGATGAAATTGAAGATAGGATACACTTTTTTACTGAGGAATGTGATCATCTACAGGTAGATTGGTTTCAAATACAACTTATCACATCTTGGATCACGTTTAATTTTGTTTAAATGTTGAAGATTGTAAAATAATATAAAGTTTTAAACAATAATAATATTAGTAATAATATTTCTGCTGTTTTAAGAAAACGTGAAATGTCTTGCTTTCAAATTTAAATAAAAACAGAAAATGCACATTTCAAAGTGCAATACCTTCAAACTGACAAATTGAAAAATTCCTGTAGGGTTTCAATATTTTGGCTGATACATACAATGGATTTGGTGGATTTACTTCAAGCATCCTTGAAGAGCTAGCAGACGACTACTCAAATAAAGGTATCCTATCTTTTGGGCTGATGCCAGCAGTTTTGCAGTATTCTGTAAGTATACAATATTATGCTGGTGCTATTTATTATGCAGCATTGTTCTCTGTAAATATATTTTTGTAAGAGGTGAAGTGCAATATAATGTTTCAAAGGAAAAAGAATTATCATCTTAAAACAGAATTATGCTTTAGAGTTAACAACACTAATACTATGGTTAAAATAGAATTATTTTGACCACCACGGCCCTTTATTTAAGGGTGTCATTTTCTATTATTGATACAGGTAGATAAACAGTAGATTTAAATGCTTCAGATTCAATTATGTCGTCAGTCTCAATAGAAAATTTACCACGTTTCAATGAAGACATTTTTTTCTTCTTCAAGAGTGCCACAGAGGAGTCTTACCAGCTAATAAACTCTGCTCTTTCATGGGAACAGCTAGCTCATCATAGCTCTTTGTTTGTTCCCCTTTCCCTCAATAAAACTCCATTTGATACGAGCGTTGCAGTGCAGCACTTTGATCACTTAAATTATAATGTAAGGACAATTACAAATTGCATGATAATCATAATTGAGTGACCTGTTAAGATTTCATATATTTTATAAACCAAAAATATTTTGATAGTAAAAGTCTGAAGTAATGTTGTAGGTAAAAAAAAATACAAATGGGAATGAAATATTGTAAGAAAGATCTGTAGTGATTTTTATTCAAATTATTTTTGTGAATTTGGTTCAAAAATTATATGTCTTCAGATAATGTGTTTTTGTCTTTTTACAGAGTTCCCTTCATTACCACACTAGTGCCATCCTTGGTGCCTGCTTGGATACATTAACATTACCCTTCAGACTAGATACAGGTCCTGTAGCAATGACTGATGTCACAGATATACTCAGTTTTCAAGGAAGAAAAGTAAGCCAGGAGCACTTCAAATGTTGATAAACTTGCCTTAAATATGAAACTTCATATTTTTTTTCATGAAAATGTAATTAGCAGCTTATACCCCGGTAGCTTCATATTGTGTGTGTTTGTACATGCATGTATGCCTGATGTATTGGGATTGAGATTCAGGTGTTGAAGAAAATTACCAAGATAAGCATTTGATCCTATAATAGTTTCTTCAAATATGTAAGGCAGGAACAATTATTTAAGGTGAGATTAAGTTGTCTAGTAAAACTCTCTAGTGAATACATATATTATATAGGTAATCGTCATTATTTGCAATTTATGTTTGACTTATTATTTAAAATGTCAATTTTATTAAAAAACTATGTTCCTTCCAGGTTGCTTCATTAGGTGTGTCATTACCATTTCCGTTATTAGAAAATGGTTCCTTAGCCAACACTCTCATGGCAGCTGGCGATATGTCACCATGGAAACCAGTGACGCCGTATTCAGACAACACAACTTTACCTTTTGCTCAGACAATTGTTGGAAGAGGAGTTTTACCAGATAAAGTTCAGGGGTAAAGGACAACTTGGTGTGCTAGAAGGCAAAAGTGTGACAACCTATTTTAGAAAACAGATTGTATGTAGGTTAAGTTTTACCAGTTATAGGAAAAAAGCTCAGTTTACATATTTAAAACAAAAACGTGACAGCCTGTTATAAAATCTATTTCAGGTAAACTCTTCTTGATGTATCTCTGAAAACAAACAAAATGTTAAATACAATTGACATCTTTTTCAGAACCATTGACCCAAATGCACCAAAACTTCTCAAAGACTGTTCAACAGCTGATGAAGTTCTCGGGCTGTATCTAGCAGAAATGTTTCCTAACTGTATCAGGTAAACTAACACAATATTTCAATTTGGAAAACTAGTAAGTCTTATTAAGTAAGATATACTTGGTATTTAACTAGAAGTTTATATAATGTACGTATATGCTGCAAATTTTTAAACATTTCCTGTATTTACTTTCAGTAGTGTGAAGGTACTTCAGTCACCTTGTCAAGTCACTGCTCCATATCCACATATGTTCAGTAGAAATATCAGTTCAGATGGATATGTTTCACAAAAGAATAGATCTGACAGCATGGGTAGGTATATGCTAGAATATTATCCGCCTTTTGATACATGATTAGTACTTGATAAAAAAAGTTTACTTTATTGGTTTACAAAGTAAGTGATAACCAGAATTTTCCGTCTTTCCTGTAGAGCAGAAGCAAATATGCTTTAATTTTGCTGAGTAAAAGTCTTGATGATATTATTTTATTATTTGGAATTAGCTAGTTCTTTACTATAAGTTGGAGACAAACAGTCATTTTAGAGAATCTGATTAAGGATCAAAGACCAAATTACCAATAAATTTCAGATAAAGTGGATAAAAATGTTCATTATTACTTTTATTTATTTGGAAAGGTGTTAACAGCGTACCAGTAATGACGTCACTTCAGTCTACGCCAACATCTGCCAAGTGCGTGCAGGCTCTTCTCAAGGAAACCAAAAAACTCAATATTTCCAAATATAACAAATTTCTGGAAGCGGGACTTGAACAAGATGATTATAAAGAATGTTTAAATTCTTTAGAGACTCTGCAAGAAAATTATGTGGTGGATATGAGCTTCAGCTAGCCAATGTCAGGCAACTTAGGAGCATTGAAGTCAACAGCTGGATTTCTAAATTATTAAAATAATGTCAGTGAATGGCTAGAAATTATCAGAAGCTTCATTGTTAAAATATAGATTACAGCGTCTCCATTCTTGTGTTTAGTTTGCGAATTTTTGTCGCATTAAGTCTGACAAAAATTCTGAAGTAACCGTGTCAACAGTCACTTGTGTGCGACGTGATATGTGCCAAGTCTTTTAACCTTTATTATATATTTATGCACCATATCTTTCATAACATTTGTCAGTGTGTGAAATAAAAACATCAATTTTCAGATTGTTTCTTGGTCATTGTTTACAAAACATAGATCTTATATCATTTTCAATGATTTAAATTTATTTCTTTTTGGTAGACCACTTAACCAAGAGGGGGGACCCCTAAAATTTTTATTCAAAATAAATGATGAAAACAACAAGGTGAATAGATTTATTTATAATTTATATTTATAGGAAGAAAAAGAACAAGTTATGGTCAATGTGCAAATTCATGCATATGCAACTGTTTCAGTATACAATAAAAATCTTCTGCATCTTGTTTGTATAAAAAATTTTGCCACTCAAAATTCTGATGCAATGAATAATATTCATCCATCAACCAAAAAGATTTTATTTTGCTTCAAATTGTCCATGGACAGAATGTTAAAAGGCACAAATACTTCATAAAAAGACACTATTAATACTGTTTGACAATTTGTGCAGGAACAGTCGATACATAATATGGTTTCACACTACTGAACAACAAATTATTCCAATCATAACATATTTCTCAAAAACTTAAAACTGAAGAAAAAATATTTTAAAATAATTTTTGTTTTACACTTTTCAATGCAAAATATTTCAAGTATGCACATGAACTTGATACTGAAACTTCTTGTGCAAGGACTATTATTGTATTTACAACCTTGTCAGTTCTGCTTTGATAAAACCTGTTCATTTTTTCTTCAACAAACTGATTGTTAAAAAAACAATATTTCAAGAAAAAAAGCCTAAATGTTAGGCAAATGAGTATCATTAGGTTGAGCATGTGTAAAACCAACATGCATTTACAGCTGAGCTTTAGCACTTATGCTAAGAGATTCCAATTGTCTTTTTCTTTCAATATTTCTGAGTTTGAACCAAATGTTCTGCTGATAACCCTCTCCTCCCGTGTGGGTCACCTCCCACATGTGATCTCTGTGCTCTGGGTGCAACATCAGGAACTTCTTCTGAACTGAAAAGAAACAAGTTCAAGGTTAAGTCTACCAAACTGACATGCAATCCTGGGTAAAGTACCCCAGTCTTGGACTGGGTTCCCATAGATTTAGATCAATCCAGATCGACCTAACTCCTTGGGGGTTCAAGCTAAATTGCTGTCAGGTTCTGAGAGCCGAGCGCACACAAAAGTTAATTACCCCCTTACAGCTTTTAGTAGGCAGGACAGACATTTAAGGCGGTCAGGCTGACAACAATCTAGTGAGACTCCCCACGGGGATAGATTGATCTAAAAATCTATGGAAATGCACTCTTGGTTCTTTTTTTTCAAACAATTTTAGTGAACATAAAATTGTACTTCTTGGATACATCAAAAAATTTTAATTACTTACCACTTAACATTGCAGATGACACTGGGTAACTGAAGCCCACATCCATGTCGGGGAAAACTTTCACAATGTCTTCCATAATCTTCATGCCATACCCCTGTCTCCTATATTTCTTCTGTACATATATTGTATCAATCACAGGGAGAGCATAAGTGTCTGATGTATGATCATGCACAGACATTCCTGAATAAAAGCAAAATTTTATATTGTATTATCTTTACCGTAACAGTTCAGCATTTGCATATTTCACTGCCAATATACAACTCAAATAAACTATTTTGCCATTTCTTCAATTTTCTCAAGTGAACCTTTGGAGATTAATTTTAGACTAATTTTATACTGTTTTATAAAATAAATTAAAAATTACAATATTCCTAAATTATCCAAAAATTCCATTAAAAGTTGACAGGAAAAAACAGTTTGCACTTGAATCCAATACTCCGATAAAAATGGACTAAAACTTTGTACTCACCCTTTGTTTTCATTGTGTAGAACCCCACAGCATTTCCCCTGTTCCAGACGAGCCTGGCCTCATCGTGGGGAGATATTGACAAGAAAGGTATGTCACCTGGCTCACTGTCCCAGTATTTGTACATTATCCTGTTTAGCACCCAAAGTACAAATCTGTCACCAAATGTTGTGACCTGCATGACAAAGTGAAACATGTCCAAAGGTAAGGTTGGTTTTTTTTTTTTAATTTTAGTCTGCTATCCTTAATAAACAAAATCAGCTGGTTTTACAGTTTATGCCTAGTCTATATAATATGGATAAGTTTAATTTTGAAATGATCACAACGAATCCAAGGAGCAATCAACCCAAATTGGTGCTCTGAATTGTAATACACAATAACCAACACTACCATGGCCAGACCTTTTCAGCACTTTATCCTAATTATACAGCGAGTGCTTATATAGTGAGAAGTTTATCCAGTGCTCAGTGGAACATGAACCCACAACTACTACAGCAACAAGCACTCTACTAGTTGAGCCCATCTGGTCAACATACAACTTACTTTCCAATTGTTTTGTTACTGAAAAAAACATCAAGACTAGTGCTTTTGAAAATACAATAGTATGTCTAACCTTCTCCTGGAATGAACATGCGTACACCTACCTGGTGAAATCCATCCCTGTTGTCATAGCTCTTCAAAGCATGTTGGAGGCCAAACCATTGGGACTGTATATGGAATGCAGTTACTGAAAAAGAAACATAATTGTAAAATCAATCTCTGTTGTTGTTGCAGTTGGACTTCTATAATATGTTGAAAAAAAATGACATAAAAGCAGTTTGTGCCCATAAATATTATCCCACTGGCCCCTTAGCATGCTAGGATCAAGCTATATATTATAACTAAACCAAAGCAAATCCTGTGGTTGCTACCAGAACAATTTTTACAATTTTAAATTTACAGGCCCAGCTTTATTTTTCTGGCATTTGCTTAGAGACCACCTCTTAGGCAAAAGATTTATAAAAACAGCAATAAAACTAAGATTACAGTAAGCTTGTGGCAAAAATTATCTGGTGTGAAGCAGTTTAGACCGCTTTATCTGAAAAGAATGTGCTTCCAATATACATGTATATCTCTAGCCCTTTATTATCACTTGTTGTACTAATAAAGATAAAACTGCATTTAGATTATCAAAAGGCTAACACCTTATAGCAAAGCCTAAGCAACTTCACTGTAAACAATACTTCTTGTGATAGCTAGTGTGTTTATTTCAAATGACAAACACACATAGCTTGCTTTAACATGAGAGAAAGCACTCATAAGTTTCCAATGTTTTTAAGTTATACACACTTTTGCTGCAGTTTTCACAAAACAGACTCAGCACTTTCTGGCAAGGACTGTCATGGTCTGTGAACTGTCCATATATGCCCATCTGCAATGTGTTGTTTCTGCATACTGATACCTAAATCACATGAAAATAAATTGTTTGCGTTTATAAGGCACTATATATAAGTACAAGTATATGAATATAGAAACCAGGGTAAAACCAAGAAGTAACTGCTAAGTAATTCTAATCAGTTTCTTAATTTGTTCCAAGCAGCTACCTCGATCAGACCATGCAATTGCAATATACATGTAACAACAGTCGTACCTAACAAGGAATGTCTTTTAACATTTGTGTTTACATCTAGCTGATATATAGTGTGCTGGCTACACCACTGATGTGACAACAATTAATACAGAGCTATACCATCACCTGACAGAGTATACACATAATTGATTAAACATGAAATGTAAATGACATGTGCAAAACAAGAAAACAGTCACTGGTGGGTAGTCCCATCACTTCTTTCTGATTATCTCTTGAAAATTTTACTGTGGCAGCCTTAAATAAAGAACCACTTGTATTTAATTTGACTCTAGCTATAACATGACTAATAAAATGTATTAAGATGCTAGTATAATCTTATGCCAAGCTAAACATAATTTAAAAGCAACAATTCAATTAATACTAGTTTTTATCAATGTCTGATTTATCTTGAAATCTACTCCCCTCGCAAAATGAAAAAAAATTCAGCAATATTGATGCAAACTTAAAGTTTGCAGCAACGATTCTGTATGAGTTTGCAAGAAAATTTTGAATTGCTGCTAATTTGCAAGAAGGAATCGCAGTTTGCAGCAAAATTGCGGCAAATGTGCAACAGGCCTGATATTTTGCTAAGGGCTACATATATTATATATACTGTAGTAGTACCTTTTTGGCACATCCCTGGCAAATAACAACATCAGTTTTCTTCCCTCTTTCGATTTCCACCAAATAATTGTCAAGGTCTGATGTGTTGTTATCCGCTTCTACCTTCAGTGCATCAACTGGATATTGCAGACATGTCGTCTGGCGTTCCATTGGAGCTAAACAAATCGATTTGAAAACGTAAACAGTGTCAATCTGAGGCTGAACGTGACTGCACATATGTTGAAAATCTATAAGATTACATTACTTTTAACATTATCAATTTGCATAAATGCAGATCATTCAATTCACTTTCTTCTCCAAGCGTTCCCACAGTAAGAACCTACCTTCTCGTGTGCTTCGAAACAATATACATTGTAGTTCCAGCCTGTTTTAACCAGTCTGCAGAAACAACAAAAAGAGGTCATTTGAGGTCAAACAGAACCGTGAGCTAAAGTTACCATCGCTGCGCCGATATACTCCTTTGTTTTATTACAGATACCATGTAAACATAATTTGGACACCTTTTGGCGGTTTTAAAACTAATTAATGCTTCGTTTTTGCACATCTCATAATAAAAGTACATCTGAACCCACCTAGAACCGGATGTTGACATCAAATATTGTATTGTGGGTAGTTTAAAATGGCGCTAGAATTTGTAGGTCAATCTCGACGATGACATTGATGCCGCTACAATGCGCTTTGAAGCCTCGGAACAGTAAACAGAAAGCTCGATATAATGTGCAATAAGTTTTAATGTATGTATATTTAACATCGTAAGAATTTGTTGTGGATAACTTTAATAACATGATGCAGATTCAGTCAGTTCTAATTTCATCTGTCTCTCTTGGTGTCTCTCATATCTCAGTTTCACTCTCAGTCTCACCCTTAGACCTTGGTAACGGCACATAACATGTAGCTGAATCCCACTTTTCTAGCACACGATCATGTTTGATACTGGAAGTATTCCAAAAGTTATATCTAACCGATGTTTGCGCTTCAAAACATTGAAGTTAACATATTTCTGTCATAATGTGACGGGGGCGTCTCGATAGTCCGAAGGTTCATTGGTCCGAAGGTTCATTGGTCCGAAAAGTGGTAACATTTTTATCGATTTTTTAATCAAGGGTTCATTGGTCCGAAGGTTCTATAGTGAACATTCGGACCAATGCACCTTCGGACTATTGAACCTTCGGACTATCGCTACGGCCCCAATGTGACACTCCTTTGGTTTAAGTTTAAATTGTGTAAGTCTGCATATCCAAGAATTTACGTCCTTTGCATTTCACAGTTTATGATTCATCATTGAAGTTATTTGATTTGTTCATATGACTCACTAACGTAAACCAAATTAAACCTTGATTTCTACTATTTCAGCCAGTAAAATGAGTTCCAAAACGCCATCGAAAAGAAAAGGCACCCCTCGCAAGTTGTCACTCACACCGCCCCTGAAGAGGTTTTTGTCAGAGGATGATGGTAACAACACCAGCCCAAGTCATGGGATGAATGTTACAGCCGCTCAGCCAGCACAGAAAGTGGATGATTCCACTGAGAGGCATTGTGATTACACTGAACATTCAGATGTTAACACCTCAGAAAATCAAGTTGAGAGTAGATTAAATGATTTAATCACTAAAGAATGTACAGGTGAAGGTGCAACTGAATTATCGCCAAGTCAACAAAAGGATACTATTCAGGAAAATATGGAACAAGAAGGAAAGGATAAAAATGATGCCTCAAATGAAGCATTTTGCAGTCAGACCCCCATAGTTTTACCTGATGTTTCCAAAAGTACACCAGAAAAGGCAAGTGAGGCGTCTGAACATTCACATGATTCTGCATCACTCAAAACCATACAGGAAACAACGCCTACTAAAAAGAAGCGCGTCCAACTGGTTAAAGGAAGATCTGGAAAGAAAAGTAGTCCTTTGAAGATCAAATTGACGTCTTCGCCGCGTAGATCGACCAGAAAGTCTCCATTTTTTACTCGTAAAAATGATGAGGGAAAAAGAAAAGGAACCCCTGGAAAGTCCTCACACACTGAGGCTAGTGAAAGACTTGAACAGCTGAGGGAAGAATTGACATTGTTAAATGAGGAAAGTAAAGGGATCACTACGCATATATTCCAAGGTTCTAGTTCAAGTGAAAAAAAGGGGAGATTGTCAGGTTCAGCGTCACCGCAAAAGGAGGTCACCCCTAGAAAAAGGTTAAGTCAGCAATCTGTTTTAGCTTTTAAATATGTTGAATTCTGATTATTTTCATTATATAAAAAAACTTGCATGTGAACTATTTGGAATCGTATTAAGCTGATTGAGTTGATTGACAAGTGCTTTTAATTATTTCTGCATGTAATTTAGTCCTGTTATTCCTGACATTTTTGCCCATGTGGAAAAGTATATATTTCACACTTTTAAGGGGTAAATCATACACTGTAAAACTTTGTTTATTTTAGGACACCAAGAAAAGTTGGGAGCCCCATAATGAAAAAGAGGAAAAAGGAAAAAGATGATGATTTAGAGATGCAAAAGCTTATTTTGGGTAGGTTGATGGGTCACCAGGGCTTTCCCCAAAGAGCCATCCAGCTTCTTCAGAAGACTACCAATATTTTCGATTAAAGGTTAAAAAGTTTTGATTTGTCAGGATGGGTGGACATTGTATAAAATATTCTTGAAAAATATGTTTATCAGAAATTTAGTTATACTTTATTCACTGTGTGAATGTCATTGATATGTTTTTCTTAAATTCAAGGATCACCAGACCCAGAAAAGCTACGCATCATAGAATCTGACAGTGAGATGGATCTGTGTCTTGAAGAGAAAGCCAAGAAGAATAACCTCACTGCTAAGAATGTGAAAAACATATTGCATGTAAGAACTGAGAATACAAGTAACTGTTTTATTTTTAATAGTCGAAGACAAACCGAGATTTGGTCTTTATAACCTTATAATAAGTTATATTCCTCCCATTTACAAACTTGTGAAATAGTTAGTTATATAAACATAAAAGGCAAAGGGAAAATGGACTAATATTAAAACTATATGAAATACATTAGCAAAGATAATTGTTGGTAAGTTGAAATTACAACCTTCTTTGTATTATAAGTTTTGATTTGGCTACATTATTATGATATATAAAGGGTGCCATACATCAGATCTTGATGATACAGTTGCAAGTGTTGAGAATCCAAGTAATATAACAATTTCAACATTTTGAGTCTTTTGAAGTTGTTTTATTCGGGTTATTATATAATGTGAAATTGTGCATTACATTCTAGCATGTCCTAACCAATGAACACGTGGTGGCCATGATGAAGAACACTCTGTCCATGGAAGACCCCAGTGAGGCACCTTATGTTCCAAAAATGACCAGAGCTAAGGTCAAGGAGGTCATGCAGAAAGGAAATGTAAGTTTGGAATATCATAATGTTATAGAAATTATCTTGTTTTTATCTGTTAAAATTTGCGATGTTTTTTTATTAAATATATATATACAGTTTTCTTTACAGCCTTATGCTTAAAAGTTACACATAATACAAAATTGAGTCAGTTCATAATTGATGAATTTTGGCTTGAAAATATGACATCCCATTGATATTAGTATTTTAATATGCAAATGCATGTTTACTTTTTCCTTACTTGGAATGATCTTTTATCCAGGTGGTAGCTTAATTTCTGATTCATTTCAAATTATTTTCCAGGTTCCTTTACCACTGCCCCTGTCACCAATCAAAAAGCCACAGAAAGTCAAGAACTTTCTTCAGCTGAGCTTTGAAGATGATGAGGAGGATGATGAATATGTCCCAGAGAACGAGGTACAAAACCTGGTATTTTCTTCATGTATTTATTTTGAAATTCAAACCTGAATTTCTTTGGAAAGTATAACAACTGAAACAATTACAATTGTTAACGATGAATATTACTTTTTACGTATCACTTCTACTGAAGTATTAATCATTTACCAGTGAATACATATCATTTCAGCAACCAGATCAAAATTTGATTGTTATATATTTCAGTCATTTCAAGACAGTGATGAAGACAGTGAGAGTGTGGCCTCCTCTCAAACCAGTGATCTTGGTTCTCCAATTCCAAGGCCTCGAACTCCTTCTACACCCAAGCAGCAGAGAGTGCAGTTAAAACCTCTGGGAGAAAGCACCCCTAAAGCCAAGGCCTTGGTGACAAAAGAACAGGAGCCTTCTTTGCCTACAGAAACAGAAAAGGTAAAGATGTGATAAGGATCATTTGAAGCAAAAAAAGGGCAGTGCATGTGAGAGAGGGAAGTTGTTGTTCTTGTAGATTTCTTTTCTCAAGTTTAGTATATAATTTGGTAATTTGCAATTTAAATAATGGCATTGATGATGCTTTTGATGATGCTTTTATATATAAAGTGCAATCGGTTGGGTGATATTTGGGGTTTGCTAATAGATAAATGTTCAATATAATGCAGCCTGTTAGCTCCCCTAAACCTGCAGCTGAACCAGCCCAACCAGAAAGCAGCAGCACAACTTTGACAGCTGATGCACAAAAGACAAGCACTATTACAGAACCAAAATTTTATACAGTAAGAATTTGGAAACTCTAAGTCCTTATTTGTTTTCTTCTTTACCTCTTATCCGGCTTATTAATGTTTTAAAAATCCACATAAAATTATAGTGTTGACTTCAAAATAGTAGCTTATATCTCATTATATTTCTAATTCTGCTTTTAAGATTACCTAACTTGATGATTGTTTTATGTTTATTCTAGGAGACTATGGGTCCTCCCCTTGAATTGCCCCCAAAGTCTAAACTTAGTAAAGGAGAAAAAACACAAGCGGAAAAATCTGAGGAAGTATGTTTTGAATTTCTTTGGTATAAACCACACTGTTTAAATGGTAACACATTTCATTTTTTATGAAACAATATTGATAAAAAATACTTGTCCTAGAATGAAGGAAAAGTTAAGAAAGAATATGCTGTGGTAATAAAAATTGTCCACTTTCCTCAAATATTTGAGTCTTTATCTAGTTAAGTTCCTATAGTTAATTTTGTATTCTGTTTTGGCATAAAATATAATTGGTAATACTAATTCATTGTATCTAAGGAATGTATATTTTTTTCACTTAAGGATACCATTGCTCTTCGAACCAGATCCAAGCTTCCTTTAAAGGACACCCCCCTGGATGTGATTGAGTCTTCCTTTGTGGCCCCAGATATCACCCCTGATATGTATGACTTTGAACATGATGACCAAGAATGGACAGGGTTCTTGACTGGGCTGCTCAAGGATGATGGTATGGCATTGTCATATACCTGCTGTGTTTTTTTTTTAATGGAACATAAAAACACACTTATTATGGTAATTAGAGAATGAATTATATATTTGATAAATGTAAACTCATTATTATTGGCAAATGTATCTGATGTGCTCTGTATGTTAAATGTTCATACCTACAGTAAGACACATAAGTAACAGCTGATTTTTTTCCTACCCCTTTTCTGCATTTATGAACACAAAATAAAAAAAAAAAACTTTTATTCTTTTGCAAGTCATTATGTAGGACATAAACTAAAAGTTTCATTTTGATTATAGGCAAATCTGAAAAGCAATTATATAAGTATGAAAAGTTCCCCTCTCATTTCATTGCACATTATGTTTTACTTTTTATCCGTGCCAATGTGAAACTTATACTTTTCATTTCAGACCCCAGTTTGTTTGATGCAGTAGAAGATGAAAGCATGGATGACCCAGAGTATAACTTTCTGGCTGATGAAGAAGAAGTGGATGAGGAGGATTACAGAAATGATCAATCAGTCCGGGTGTCAAGTAAGGCATTTCATTGAATTAGATATTATTTTATTCAACTTGGAAATGTTTCTCACAATATTTTTATGCTAAACAAGAATCCATTACTATAGTGACATCTTTTACACGAAAGAGGAACTGTGAAAGTCTTGAATTGTTTGCCATGTATAAAAGAGGATGGAGTTTGCTAAAAAAGGTGAATCTTCAACACGTAATGAAAGTATAGACATTGCTTTAAAAATCGCCAGATGTTTATGAGTGTCTTAAATTTGTCTTTCATTGCATAGTCTTGGATAATATCAATGAGCTTTCCCTTACTGTCTTCAGAAAAAGAACTGAATGAATTAATGGATGAAGTGTTTGAGGCCTATGGTGGCTGGGAGGGGCTGGAGCAGGATGATGACAAGATTGAAGAGGAGATGTGGACCCAAGGATTATTACAGGGAACTAGCTGCAAGTAAGACAAAAACATATAATGGGAAAATTGACAAATTTAGTGATTAATTCAATGGACTTTCAACAACATATTTGCTAAAATAAGAAATGAGTATATGTTATATGTATTGAATTTAGTTGTATACCTATACATGCATGTATTGTACATTATCAACACAGAGGTATTGAATTTTGCTACAAAAAATTATCTGATAAATAAATTGAAATGCCAAGTTGAAATATAACACAATTTCTAACATGAAGAAAATTTTATTACACAGTGAAAACGGGCATAATGAAATATACTTGATGTTTCTTCAGAGTTGACAACAGGCTCGTCTCCAAGATGGTGCAAGATGGAGAAGTGGTTAAGAAAAAAGACAGTAAAAAGAAAGTAAAAGAAGCTGATAAAATCCCACAAGTAACTCCAGAGGAGAGGGCACAGTTGGATCTACAAATGAGAAAAGTAAATTGTATTTTTTAATTAAAATTTAAAATTTGTCTTCTACTTGTAGATAAACGTATGAAGAATAAAAAAGTTAAATAAACTTGGTCCGTGTTTTTAAGAATAAATATATCTTTATGATTAATAAATTGAATACAGCATAAGATACTACTTTTTATTTTTTTAACAAAATGAAATAAAAGTATAAAAAAAGGTATAGCAGAAATGTCTTTCAGGTTTGACTATTATCTCTTCACACATTTCTCACTGATATTCACTGTATTCACAAATATTTCTTACAGCATGTGCAGTTGTTAACCCAAATGTTCGTGCTCTCCAAACCAATACCAGATTATTCAGAGGTGGCCTCAGCAAGTAGAAAACTCTTGGTGAGTTCCTCCCTACCACTAGTAACATAATGCTTTATGTTTAAAGGCTTTTGAATTAGATTTGCTTTATCGAGTCTGTATTTGGGTTATTCCTGAAGGAATACTGGAGAGAGGTGAAAAAGTTCTTCTGAAAGAGGTTTGTCTTGCAGTGCCTCGAAAAAATTGTGTATGGATATGAGGATACAAGGTTGGAAATCTTGAATTTCTTATTACGAATAGTAAAAAAGGAATTTGTTATTGCAACATCACTTAATAAATTTCACTGGGTTGATATGATATGTCATTACAGGAGGAAGTAGATCTGTTCAGACAGAAGTCCCAGGCAGGTGCCTTGTCAGCATTCAATGCCCTCAACTTGGCAGATGCTCTGACAGTGGTGAAGAAAGAAGACGAACAGGTCTTCCCGTGTGTGACTGTCACAAATCTGAAAAAGAAAAGAGGCAAAAGGGGTAAGGGCGCAGTTTAGAAATCCATCAAGTGAATGTTTATTTCTCCCTTGCGACTTATCTCAGTTGATGATGTACTCTACCTTGTTCAAGCAAGCAATTTTTTTTAATAAGCAGTTTGCAAAAAAGAATTATTGTATTTTATAGTTTATGATTAAAAAGAAAAAATATATATTATGTGTTTTCATATTATGATTGTATTATTTATTGTATATTTAAGTATTCGATCCACCAGAACTAAATAGCCACCAGATGTCAGTGTTTGTCAACAATACTGTCTTCATGTATCCTTGGTTGGTTCCACAAAGTGGGCTCTTCCCAAGTACAGTGATGTTCCCGCAGAAAGTATTCTTCACAGAAGCAGAGGACAAGTAAGTGATGTTGATATTTGAACCATGATTTATAAAGGAATTGCATTTGCTATTTTTCATAATTGTAACATGTCTATCCCATCACAGATATAAAGTAATGGACTTGATATTACTTAGAGATGTGTGTATGGGTGTTTGTGTTTGTAGAATTCAACATCAAGACCCCGCAAGACTCGAGTCTTTATGAAAAACCTCTCCCTTGACTTCACCGCCATTTATTTCAGCACTTTTTATCATACATTATTTAGGAGGTTGATATTTAAGGTTAAACTAGTTAAGGGTCAGCATATTTTAAGTTGTGCAAATTTATATTATGTTTTTCTATATGAAATGATTTTTCATTTCAGTCTTTTGGCTCTTGGTGAATACCAATTCAATGCATTCATGAAGAGATCAGAATTGATTAGATATTTTCTCTTGCCAACCAAATCGGCAACACAGATTCGGATACGGACAAAGAACATGTGTGCTACAAAAAAGGGGGATAACTTGATCAAGGTAAATATTTGTTTTATTGTTCAAAGCTAAAGTTTATCACAAGTGTGAACATTATAGTCTATTGTTTCTTGTGTATATTTTCTCTCTCTTCTTTCTGTCTCTCTCACTCTGTTTTCATTGCTTTTACTACATTCTATGGCACATATCCACAATGAAATTTGTGAGACAGATGTAATCACTGAATCTGTAAATTTGAAATCCATACTGGGCTTGTTATAAAAGTAATTTAAAAAAAACCAGTGAATTGAGTATAAGATAACTAATCAAAATGAATACATTACATGAAAGCAGCAGGAGAAATAGAATGATGCTTATGCCTTATAATGACTATCAAACTGTTCTCTCATTTATTTTCAGAGAGTAAAGTCTGGAAAGTTTGAACCCCAAATGCCAATTTTTTATGAAACATTGGATCTGACAAAGATAAAACCTATCATTGAACTGGACGGTGCTCAACAGCCATGTTGGATAGAGGTATCCTTAAACTTATGCTGGACCTTTCTGTTCATTCTGAAGTACATGAAATTATACTAATGTATTGTTTTCATTTGGAGCATTTTTAAATATTAGAATATGGCAACTAATGGTTGTTAATTGTTGAAAATGCCTGTTTTTCAGAAATATCATAAAATATTTTCAAAGGAAGGATCCAAGAAAAAGAGAAAGACAAAATTGAAAAAGCATAATAAGGAAAAAGCCAAAGGAACACAAGGTGAAAATAAAAATGGTGACGGAGAAAATGAAATACATGACACCAAAGATATTGGCACAGATTCAGAATGTTCCACATGTTGTTCCTCATGTGGTTCTTCATGTGACTGTACATCTGGATCAGAAGACGAGGAAATGAACGAAATTTCAAAAGATACCACAATTAGCTCATCGTGCGGTGGAAACCCCAACGACAAGGGGGAGACCACCCAAAAACCAAATTCTCAAAAGGAGACGGAGACAGCTGAGGAGGATCCGGCCTTAAGAGACCACTCTGATGTGGGCTACAGCAAACACAAAGGTATCCAAATCCATTATGGGACCAGCGGGAGAAGCACTCCCACCTCAGGCACCACCACCATTTCTATACAGGCCGACCAGGCAAACAGAAATAGCCCCACACAGTTTGTGTCCATTCAAAAATTTCAAAGTTCAGCTGAAACATCATCTTGTCAGGCTAATCCTACAACTTCAGTGCCTGCTTCTTCAGGAGGGGCTAGCAGTGGAAAAGGACCTAAAATGGACCCGAGAAAGCCACACCTTAAGCCTATTGCTCCAGCACTTACAGGTGGACCAATCATCATAGTTGCAGGTCCTCAGCAGATGGGAGCCATTATCAGTACAGATAAAGCCCCTGGTGCTGTCATTCTCAATCAGCAGAGTCCTCAACAACAGCGAAGTACCAGTCCAGTGATTATAATGACCAGTCCACAGGTGGTCAGTCAGCAGGTGGCCACTGTGAATGAAAGTAGGAGCATGACTGTCCAGTCAGTGTCCAGTGTACCGACATCTGGTGGTAATGTCATTGTAAATAGCAGTATTGTTACTGCTCCTCCTTGCTCTGAATCACAGACTTTGAATTCTGAAGTGAATGGAAGTGAAGTATCTAATGTTCCTGCTACTGCTACAACTCAACAAAATTCCCCAGTTGTTGGTAAAATTGGTGCTGAAGTGTGTAGCCAAGAGAATGCCAAAACTAAAGCTATAACTCTTAATGAGAACAGCCATGCTTCGAGTGATATAGGGGTTACGATAAGCATGCCGACAGGAGACACATTGCCAGAACCTGCTGGTGAAGGGAAAAGCAGTAATGACAATGACATTGCTACTGCTGCGGCTCCTCTACATGTCTCCAAGTTTGTGAGTGAAACGGGTGCAGCAGTGTCTAGTCAAAAGAATGATATAACTAAACCTACAAGTCTTAATGAGGACAGCCATGCCTCCAGTGATATAGGGGTTACTATTAGCATGCCAAACCTAACAGTAGAGGGGTTGTCGAAATCTGCTGTTGTCCAGAAAGGCAATAATGACATTGACAATGACAATAACAATGCAACTGCAACATCGGAGGCTATTGAAATGGCTGGATTGAACAACATGTCTCCGGTGAAGCAAAAGGACTTTGACAATGATTCAAATTCACCTACTAAATCAGCTGTTCAAATCATGGCCAGTGTTGCAGGTTTTATGATCACCCCACCGAAGAGAGTGCTGAACTTAAATGAAGATGCTCTTCATTCTCCACCACAAATAGGGAATTTCTCAAAACTTTCAACTCAGAAAGCTGTGAAAATGCCACAGTTGGTCTCTCCAAGATGCAGAACTATTGCACCAAAGACTCCAGAGAAAACGCCAACAAAAACTGTTTCGCCTTTTCTGAAGAAAATCCAGAAAAGTCCCAGAAGACAATTGCTGCAGCAACAAGCTAGGGCAATTCTTCCAAAAGGATTTATTTTCACAGCCCCCTCCGTATCTCCATCTAAAAAGGCTGCCCATGCCATAACTGAGAAAATCAGAAGAGGTGGTCTGTCAAGAAATATGCCCACAATCCTAAGGCGGAGTAGTCGTTTGAGACAACTTCTGCCAAAGGATCCAGCCAAGGAAAGTTTTGACCTTCAGGTTGTCCCTGAGGGCGACATCCCAGATGAAGATGAAGACCAAGATGACGATCTTGCCGATGCTGATGCTGAAGCTGCCAGTGAATATGACACCATGGAGTCTGAGTATGTATCCGATGAAAATCAGCAGGACAAGGAAAACCAGGAAGATGCGAGTAAAATTAAACCTCAGACTAAGAAGAAATTGACCAAAAAGAGGACGACCCAGAGAAAAACTAATCGGGTGATTGGTCCGCCGAGTGATGGAAGTGATGATGAGGATGAAAGCCCAGATGAAGATGATCATCTGGCACAACTAATGGCGGCTAGTTCCACTATTGGGTAAGAAAGATTTTTTGCTAATAAATCTTTTGTATCTCATACTCTGTGACTTTTTATTTAAAGCTATCTTTTTGAGGGTTTATAACCCTTGTAAACAGGTGAAGAGCAAACATCTTTCTTTTTTATGACCTTTTTTTTTACTTAATTATTGGGAATAAAACTAAGTTTGATCAGTTTTTAGTTTCTTTTATCTAGATATTTTTTATGTTAATGAATCTTGGTCCTCTAAGAAGAAAGATGTTCAGTCAAAGAGAAAAATGAAAAAGATGCATGACATTAAATTAAATTGATATTGGTTTTCACTGTCATAAAAAGAAGATAAACAACATCTAATTATTTTAGATTCAATCCTCAAAAAAGATCTTCCCTACAAATGAGCAAGAAGAGTAAGGCAAAGAAGAGAAAGGAGGCGACACTAGCCATGTTGATGCCAAACCTTATTGAAGCCGATACCTTGGTAATATTTATAAAAAGTTGCTTCACTGAAATATTTTTAAAAAGATATTGACTGTGGTTTAGAGTAAAACTGAAATAAGGACAAGATATCATAAAGATGCATGTTAAGATAATTCTTTATTTTAATCTATTAAATAATGATTACAAGATTTCACATTTAATAATTCTCTGTAAATATATTTCAATATATGAGAAAAAGTCACCTTTCAGTATTGAGATCATGATGAAAAAGTTAAACTTTCAGTGGGAGATTTCAATGTTTCAAAATTAAAATGGTATGGCTCAGTTTTCAAAGGGAGGTCAGATTTTAAGGTCAGGCTACTATGACAGCTTCATCTTGTGCATAGAATAGTCTTATAATTGATTTACTCTTTAATCTTACAGAAAGATGAAAAGGACACAGCCTTTGCCCAAGCCTACTTAACTAAAGTGAAGGAAACTTTGAAGAATGACCTCGACACCTATGAAAAGTTTCTTAGAACTTTGTATGAGTTTGAGAAGAGTCAAAGTTCACCAGTGCAAGTAATTAATATCTTTCACTCCTTTTCTTTGTAATTAAATTCAGTATTCAGATAAGTTTACCAAGTGTGATTTAACACCTGCAGAGTTAATTAAGAACAAAAAACATTTTCATTCATAAATTGTTAAAGCAGCTATGTAGTTCATTAGCACAGTTGGAAGTTCCTAATAATATGTAGCTGTCTGCATCTGCTGAATGTTATATGTATGGAACACATTATGCAGTTATCTTATAGCCAGCTCTGAAATATTTTACATCTGTAAATACAGGTGGAATTCCTACTGATATACAGTGCCTGGTTGAGTTCTGGTTGAAAATTAATGCGTTGAGTTCCTGAGAGGCCTTGTCTATTTCCAAGATAATAGTTCAGATGGACTAGATGTACAGGATTCAGTCCTAGAAATTATTTATTCAGCCAGATGTCTAAGATACATTTCAGAGACTTGTTGTCTGATCTTGCGCGGATGTCACAAACACTTTCATTGGCTTTTTACTGGCAAAGTTGTTTTGCTGCAGCTTACGTGTCTTTGAAATGAATAGAGTTTTCAGCTCGGACCTGAACCTGTTCCCACAGATGCAGTACAGAAAAAAATTAATGCTGTGATTGGTGTATGTTAAGAAACTTGCAACTGTGGACAGCAGTGAATAGAGTCCCATGTCTCTGGATGTTCTTTGAAATGTTGAATATCTCACTATGATCAGTGTGACGTGAGGCAGTGAGAGAATCAGAAACGAGATGGAGACCGTCAGGAGCAGAATCATCACTTTTCTGTTCTGCTGGTAATACTTTGGAAAGAGAAGTTGGCCTCTGGTTATGTTGAATTTCTGACTCCTGGCTTTCGCTTTACTTAATTCTCTCAACAAAAGACTGTTCAGTATGAGCAATAAAGTGCTTGGAAAGAATGAGTACAAAACTCCATCAATCCAAGGCCAGATGAATTGCCCAAAGTTCAGAAACTCTGTTGAAATGGTGCAGAATCCATGAGTATTTAAAGAAGCTGTCCAGAAAAAGTGTAAGTTTGCCAGGACCAAAGTTGCTGCAATGCCCATTATCAGTTTTCTGGCATTCTTTATTGATTTCCACTGAAAGGGGTCATGAATAGCAGCAAATCTCTCTGCAGTCATGATAACTATCATCCAAACAGCAAAATAATATCCCCAGAAGTGAAGAAAGGTAATCCCTTTGCAAAAATAGTCATGTTGGTTCAGAACGTCAAATCCGGTGAGGTGAAATACCCAGCGTCTTGTAGCACCCATGAGAAGGACCAGGTTATCTGCCAAGGCCAACACTCTAGTATGATAGCTGATCACTCGGTTTCTTCTTTGGATATTTTTCTGTCCCATCACCACAAAGTTTGTTGTATTTCCGAGGAGTCCAGTTATGATTAAAACAGGCAACATATACTGGTTTAGTACCATGGAGATTTGATAATATGTTGTATCATGTAACTGTTCCCAGAAGGCTGAATAAGAGTAATTTTCCATCTTCAATAAAGTGTACTACTTTTTCTTAAGAAGAAAATTGATGAAGTTCAGTTCTTCAATACAATCACAGTTTACATCAGTCTTTATCTTTGATCTGTAGCATCTGTTTTAAAGTGATCCTTTCTTAGAAAAAAAAATCCTGATTTTCTCTTCCATGGTGTTGAATTTTAGTGCAATCCTCTCTTATGAATTCTAGCTAAGCTTTCGGCAGATCTACCTCATTTTTCAGCATAGATGTAGAAATGTATTATTTATATTGTTTGGTGCCTTGTAGAATAATTGTTTTTTGTTGCTAAAAGGCTCAATCCCATCCAGCTGTGTTTTGTTGTTTTATCAAATGATAAGGTGTTTTTTGTACACTATTGTAGTTTGATCTGCTAGCTTGTTTACTCCCTAGTAACAGTGTTTGTGGTTCAAATGATTCAATTTATGGCCTTAACAGAAAAAATGGCTCTGGTCAACCTTTTCATCCTTTCTGACAGTTTTATTTGACAACTCAACATTTGTATTCTGTCCATTGTTTTTTTTTTCTTTGATTTTAGATTTTCTAGAAGTCTTACATGTAAAATTGTCTTAAATGTTTCAGTGTTTCATTTAGTATACATTCATGGATGTACTTACTCGGTTGAAATTAATTTTTTGAGAAATTAAATACTTTAGCAAGAGTGAAGCACCTTTTGACATATGTTCTTGTTGACATATGATATTCAAACACAGGTCACAGGGATTTGCTGAATTGATTAAAATATAGGGCATAGAGTATTGGATTCATTTAAGAATACCTTGTACTTTGGGTAAAGACCTTGAAAGTTAAGTTCATTTGAAAAAAAAGTTTTACATAATTTATGTACTGAAGTAAAGGATGTTTGATAATATTTTTAATATTTAACCAATGAAACATTTTTTTTTAGTATAGAGGATAAATATATTTATATTTTACAAATCACAAACCAAACAGATTTTTCCTTTTCCGGCTGTTATTTTAAAAATCAGAATAGTTTTGTAAGCAAGATTGGTTTTGCAATTTGATGTTGTGTTCTGTCAGTGAAGCTAATTAGCTCCTGAAATGATGCTGTGGCTGTTTAAGAATTGTTTTAAATGTGTTTGAACATATCGTAAAAGAACACTTGCTTCAAAAACAAACATCTTATGTCATCATCACAAATTATATGATAAGTCTCTTATCTGCATTGTAGTGAACCTTTGATGATTCATTAAGGGAACAGGAAGCATTCAAAAGACCTAAAATTAAAACCAAATGATCAATGAGTGACTTTTTAACAGGTGCCATATAACAAGTTGTCAGAATTAACTGATAGACTTTTATTTCTTTTTTAAACCTTGCATTTTAGATATTGTGTTTTAATGTGTTTACATTTGTGTTTTAATTAATATTCCTTTATTCTTACTTACTAATGGTTTTATTCAACTATGATGCAATGATTGTAATTATCCAACCCTCGGGTTGCAAGTTTGGTAATAATAATAATAATACGTATGATACCAGTCATATAATTTTCTATTCCAGCTGTATAATAGTATCAGAATATTGCTAGGGAACTTCCCAGACCTGGTGAATGACTTCTCGGGTTTTCTACTCCCAGAGCAGGCAGTGGAGTGTGGCTGCTTCATGGCCAACAAGGAGTTTGAGAAAGTCAGGATTTTTTTGAGGAAATTGGAGGTAGAGAAAATTTTTATTGTTATAAAAAAATTTCTGTTGTCCTTGATTTTTTTAAATACTTAAAAAGTGCACTTGCTTTGATTTCAAAAGGAAAGATTAGAAAGTTTATCTGAAAAGAATATTAGGTGTGTACATTGGTTCTAGAAGGCATGCTTAACAAGAAAGTCAGTGAGTTTATCATTGAGTGTAATAAACAATAGTTTAATAGGGAAAATGTGGCTGATTCAGGTGTTTAACCCAATTTTTTAATGTCAAACTCTGGACAGTGTTTAACATGGCAAGTCGGTTTTTATTGGTACTGTTAATTCAGTTGTTTTAAACTTCTTATTCTTACTATTTAAGTGCAGTAGAATTGAAATTATATATGACTATCTGATGTATATTTAGGTTTGTTTTGGGAGGGATTCAAGTCACTATCAAAAGATCCTGAAGGTATTTTCTCGTTGGCAAAACAAAGGCAAAGGAAATGTTGAAGAGCTGAAGACCACTGTGAAGCCATTGCTCAAAGGACAGGCACATTTACTGGAAGAATTTTCTACTTTTTTCATGGATGCAAGGCCACCAGAAAGGTACAATTAGTATCAGAAATGTTAATATGTTTATGTATCATTTTATCATTGCTACAAACATGCAACAATAAAATCTTTTCATATGTCCGCACACAGACCTTACAGTAAAAAATAAAGTGACAGGGTCAAATTTTATATTGCACATATATACAAACATCTCTATCTGTGAAAAGAAAGAAACACATGACATGCTTATATTATAAATGGTTAAATTTTACAACAGTTCACTGTCTATACTATAACTTTAAGTGTACCTGTATTTGCTTATTTTCATCAGAATGCGTAACATGCTTTTTTCCAAAACCTTGAAACAGTCCAGAAAAGCATGACCATATCAGCTCTTGTTGCCAAAAATGACAGCAGATATACGATCAGTAAAATTCTCTTTCTTATTCCAGTCAAATGAATTGTTTTGAAGAAGTGAACCTAAGTGACAGTGGGGATGAAAGCAAGATGGCTGCCCTCGACGGTTTTGAAATAGTGGAACTTCCTGAAGAAGACACAGACTGTGGCACAAAACGATGTCGATGCAACTGCCATCAAAATGCTCAAGATGAAAAACTAAAGAAAAAGAAGAAGCATTGTGCCTCCTGCTGCCCTCTTAAGGTGAAATTTGAGATAAAGTGTAAATTTGTCAGTGAAAAGGAATAAAAAGTTATCTTTTTAATCAAAGTGGAATACTGAATGTCAGTTATTTTTAGAGAAGTTATTTCTTTAAAATATATGATTTTGAGGAAATGCACTTTTTGCAAAAAAAAAAAAAAAAAAAAAATCACCAGTGTACACTTAAATAATGTGTTCTTTAGATCTGGTGGAGACATACTGATCATGCTTATCCTCCATGTCCAGGCTGTGAAAAAAATTTCAAAAGAGCTTTATATTTTTCAGATTGTCGATGGAAGAATTTATCTTCAGATGGGTTCAAAGAATCTGAGACCAGCACAGGTGATATTCCACCATCCCCCCAAAGCAGCCCCCTCACCACCATCTCTCTCACCACCACACACAAACCCTTCCCAGAATTCACCAAAAATTGCTGCCAGGCAACAAAACACAAACGAAAAGAGTAACAATGCAAAAGAGGATGTCTCCAATTCAATTCAGCAAGCCAGCAGAAATGGAAATGTACCCAGTGCTGCATTTCTAAACATTGACATGAATTTACAGGAACAATCAAACGAGTCAGGGAGGATACAAAATTCAACTGATCAAAAATTGAATGAAGAAGTGCGTGCTGTGGACTCACCTGTTTCAGATGTGATGCAAAGTACTCAGATATCTGAACTCTCTAGTGATAGTGATCTCCTCAAGGCTGCTTTACGCCAATCTGGTATAGAACCTAATTCAAACTCAATGGACGGACAGACACAGTTAACAGTGACCCCCTCTCGATTGGGTCCTATTATGAGCAGTGACATTATGTTACCATCATCAGCAGCATCAGCATTTACCAGAGTGACATCCTCTTCATCCTCACAGTCGTCCTCTGATGTCCAACCAACGTCGGGCTCACCATTAGGTCTAACATCCAAGACTCAAAGAAAAGTCGAAGTAAGATTATTTCAGTAGTATTCAAGTATTAGAATTGGGGATTGTCAGTCAACTGCATGTCATACATATTCATGTACTTCGTTTTATTTGCAGTTTATTTTAAAGGAGAAAAACAGTAAAATGTTTTAAGCTGTTGTTTTGTCCTTTTATTATTTGCCATTATCTTTAGTTTCATTTTGATAGAATGCTTGTGAACATGTATTAACCTTTAATCTCACTTGTTGTTCATTGATTTTCTCTTTAAAATTTAAAATAAATTGAATTAGATTTAATACTCAGCCCTAAATTTTTTGTTTATGATGTGCTCTCAGATGAAAATACAAAGACCTAGAAAAAGAGCCAAGCTGGTGACATTGTCCACCACAGTTCCATCTCATGTACCAGAGCACTCGGCATTCTCAGTTGCCAGCCAGGCATCAAACCCAGACTCCAGCCAAACAACCACTCTGGACACCACTGTCCAGGCAGAACTGCCAGTTGTAACAGAGACACTGAACATGCCTGAGAAATTAAGTGCACCCGAGGTATCCAGTGCTGCTTCAGAGAAATCCAGTGTACATGAAAACCCAAATGCCTCAGAGAAGACGAGTGGAGCAGATTCTAGAAGGATAGTAATGAAGATCAATTTGACTCAGAACAGTGCAGTTACCACAGTCTTGCCGCACAGTGATGATTCTGAAAGCTCTAAAGATTCTTTTATTTGGTCCAGGTAAAGAGTTGTTCATTTATTTCATTGTGTCCCATTGTACTTTGGTGCTTTAAATTACACACGACCAAATCTTTGATCTAAGATTATATTTAAACTTAAGTCCAGGACTTGGTATTTGTTAGAGGTTCAAGGCCTATCTGTTTGACGAGTTTTGAGTGTAGAAGTCTACATAGTACATTTGCTAAACAATGCATTGGGAAATAAAATGTTTGTCCAGTGCATAATATCAGTTGGCTCCAGGCTTTCTAGGTGGACTTTCTTCATCAAAGTTATTCTGCATTGTTGAATTTTTTAATTTCAGAGAGGATGACAAAATAATCTTAGAGACATGTAAAACAGAAGAACCTACAGATGAAACTTTCATCAAAATAGCTAGTCAGCTTTCTAGCAGGACAGCAAAACAGGTGAACTATGTAACTCGTTAAGAGCTGTTGGTTAAATCACTGTTAGTCCATATTTTCAATAAAGTTAAGTTTTTTCTAACAGAAGTTTAGTGGCAGTATACACCACAGTGTGTGTGTGTGTGTGTGTGTGTGTGTGTGAATACATTCCCAAATTCAGTAATGTTGCAGATTGATCTTAGATATATTGTTTTTGATTTCAGGTTCGGAACCGTTTTTACACTTTGATGGATATTTTCTCTGATGATGGTACTTGTGATGGTGATGACATAAGTACAGACTCCAATGATGTGTCTCTATAGTAATATGTGGAAGACATTGACTTGTGAAGTTCAGCATTAGAAGCATTATTTTAAGACAATAGTGTTCTTATGTATTTGTGAAAATGGATTGTATTACCAAGTTGCCAGAAAGGTTTTCTTTTGTTTACTTTAACACTGGGGAATTGTACAGTGTCTGAAGTATGCTTTAGCAGAATTATTTTTGTTGCAGTTTGAAATAGAACTGCAGTGATTGAAATTGTCAAGGTACTACATTATCAAAATGTTTTTGTAGTATGCATACATCAGTTACTGGGATCATGTGAGATCTGAAGGATTTTTCTTTGTTGACAGAATTATTAAAAATTTGATGGTTTATCGACCATTGTAAATTTTTTCAATAAAGTAATTGAAAGTTCTATCATAGTTTTCATTTAAACTATGTACTTGTTTTTAGACCACTGTAATCGTTATGTTGGGTCAGGAGATAAAAAAAAAACTTAAAAATACAAATTAAGCAAGTAGTCACGTCAAAATGTTGCCTTGAAACCAAACTAATTGCCAGAAATCGATTTCAAATAGCATGGGATAAATAAATAACAGTTTCAGTACATTATTTCCTGAAAAATTACATTTGACAAGAAATTTTAAGATTATAAAGCCTTTTCGCCCTGTATTAGCACAGATTTTTTTCTGGTTACTTTCTGTGATTTACAGACTGGAGAGAAAATAAGTGGATCAAATTTTTGACAAATATTAAGATTTTGAAGCCTTTTTCCCCTGCAGACCTAGAAATAAATTGTATGTCTTGGACATTTGGATTTTATTTGTGATATGAAACTGGCACTAATAATTCACATTCACCTTACAGAAAATTTACTCTCCCTTCTCATGTATCTTGAATTTCACCCCTTGATTCTTCCAATCTGAAATTTGGAAAAACACAAAACATAACACACCAAGACAGAATGATTATACTTAACAAAAATATTTATTCAAAGGAGCACATCTGAAAAAGTACACCATAAAATGAAGATGCTAGTATTTTTCAAAATTTAAAGAAACCCTGAAATTTTCTAAACAATAAGTGCTATTTTTTGTTTGGGAAAGAAATTACTGAGAAGTATTGGTTATGGTGAATGAAGTAAGTCCTTACAGAATCACAAACATATGTTAACAAAATCTGGGATAACAGAATACTTCTTTTGAGCGGATTCTAAGTTTATCTTAACATATCTTTTCATTTCTCTTCTCTGCACCAATTTCAAATCACATATAAAAATATGTTGGCAGCACTCCTAGTGGGACTCAACTAATCACAGCAACATTTTCTGTTAAGAATGCTAAAAAAAATGTAAAATACAGTTTGCTTCGATAAATAAAAGCACCATGTATAAAAATAATCAGTTCAATGACCTTTCTCATCCATTTTCACAACTTTAAAAAATCCATCTTTAGTATCCCTAACTTTGGTGCATATAAATCAGCCTGTATAAATGTCAAAGGATATATGTCAAAACAGAAACCGAATCTAGAATATTACATATTTCCTTTCTATAAATTGTACCAACAACCAATTATGCAAATTATAAAAAAGTTAAAGAGGGAGCCAAGATTCTTGCGTTAACATCCGAGACCCTAAAATTTATTTTTAAAAAAATTTTTAAATAACTATTTGTACAAATTCTGGCTCTCAGTTGGTGCATGTCCTTTCTGAACCTGACTGTGAACACACTGCTACAATCTTCCTGCCCATTGTAATTTGATTCCACAGAAGCTTTCTTGTTCTGGATCAATCAATAAAATCCTGATCTGGAGCTTCCTCATTTGCAGGAACGTCATCTCGTGCTTCCTCATTTCTGGGAACGTCATCTCCCACATCATCCTGTATATTAGCTTCATTGGGTAATTCTTCGTCTTGTTCTGCTTCAGTGGCAGTACCTTCACCTGGCATAGTTATTGTGGTGTGACACATGGGGCACCTATTTTGAACATAAAACCACTTGCGGAGGCACAGAGCATGGAAATAATGCTGACAAGGAGTAATACGCGCCGTTTTCAGTTCTTGGTAGCAGATGGCACACACGTCATTATGGGCTGCTAACTGTTCCTCTGTTGCTTCTGGGAGAGATAAAATTTTTGTCACAGCTTCCTTACGGAGCAAAAAGCTCCTCCATCCTTCTTGTGCTCTTTGCCATATGTTGAAATAAAAGTGAATAATAAGAATGGAACTGTTGATCCAGCTCCACTGACCAAATATAGATTCTTTTGTGCCATAAAACACTACAAATACGGCAACTAAAAATTCCAACACTCTTATAGTTGCTCGAGCATAGTAAACGTAATCGTCTAGCTTTTCCCATGGTTCAGTAAGCAAAGCATCATAGAAAAATAATGAATACACAACAAGGGAGCCTATAACCTGGACAGAGGTCAGCAAACAACTGGACACTATCACTAATAACCAGAGGTCAACATCGAACACTGAACAGATAATGTACGTCATAAACAATGGAAAAATCCACAAAAAAGTGCAGAGAAGTACCGCTTTAACATGTTTAACTAAACTCTTATTATGTGATGCGCTTAAGCCTAGTAAAATGGGGTCTGTTATCTCATACATTGACTGCAAAAGAGATGAGACCAATATAAACAACACAATGCTCATCAAAAATGCTCTTTCTTCCGACTTCAGTTCTGTGATGCCAGTCTGCATGGCAAGCAGAAACATTGTAAATCCTTCTGTCCATCCACCGTGTAACATGAGATCGTCTGTGAATCCATTCCAGCCTTGCAAATACAGCTTGGTGGCAGCCAGAGTAGCATATGATGCATATGAAACCGTGACGCAGAGGCCAAACACACTGACTGCAGTGCCACAACAGTCTCCAATGCTGGCCAAAAATATGAGAAGCCATCCGTCCAGCCAACCGTCCTCAAAAAGTGGGTTGTCAAGAGTATTTGCATTGATGTATAATCGAAAGAAGAACATTGATACCCAGAATAACAAGAACTGCACTTGCATTGATAATTTTCTCCATAATATCAATATATAACTTAACCAGCCATATACAGCCAGTCCAACACTGGCCTCATGCAAACCCTGATTGATCACGTCAAATATCTGGCTCAGGTGGCTGATAAACAATATGATGACTAAAATTACTGAATATGTGCATCCAAATTCCCAAGTGCTCAGAAGAGTATAAGGATTGACATAACACAGTCTAGCTATAATGGGAACCGTATACACTAAAAGAGTAAATCTGGTCCAGTGTTTTAAATGCAGCAAATATGTGATTACTGATATGATCAAGCATTGTAGACTGAGGTGTATCCCCAGTCTCATTAAGTTGATTTCATTTCTGCCACCACTCTTCTCAAAGTCTTCTATTTCTGTCATTATATACACCTTGCAAAGGCCGGCACAAATGATGACCAGAACTGCACTCATCACATACATGTAGAAGTCCACCAGTTTCTCTATAGGCAGGAATGCAATTGCAAGGGCAAGACATGGCACTGGAAATGAACAAAATACAAAATAAGATAAATATTGTTTAAGAGCTGTTTGTCTAATATGTGGATAACTAGACATTTATTCATAAACACCAATACATATTGAGAAATGAAAGAACACGGGCATTAAGCTTTATTATTTTTTTTGTTATTATTCTTGAAAATTTGTCATCATCATTTTAACCATATTGCTAGATGCTGAGAATTTCATTCTTAACATTTAGATAAACACCTGAGGTCTTTTGCTCTCCGTCTTTTCATCCATATGGAATGAATTGACATGGTTCATTTCACACATATTTTGTACTAATGTACCAAAGGTAAACAGCGTCCAAAATATTTTCGTCCACGTCATCTATTTCCGTGTAAACTATGCCTGTATTTGTCTTTTTTTTCATTATACATGTAGACATGTAGCAAATAAGGTTTTTAGAAGAAAAATGATGCAACCGACATAAATTATATAAAAATTTGATACAGGTTAGAGTGAGGGTTAGTAAACAGACATTCCACCTGCCACATTTAAAGCCTTTCGTCGAAGCTGTAGCAAAAGACGAACGTAGCAAACCTTGTGGCAAAAAAAAATTACTCACGCGTAAGATCTAACATCGCTGCGCCAGGCGCCAATTCACCTTCACCAGCTGCTTCGTCAGCACCCAGCTGCTTCTGAATATTTGCACTAAACTCATCTCTGCTCCAGATTTCATAAATGTATAAAGCTGGAACCCTTAAAATGACATTCACACATGTCAACAAGAACTCCGACTCTATCGGCATCTTCTTCCACACACCAAGCTAGTTGTAGATGTCAGGATGTGCGCCTTGCAACACTGCTTTTTGACGGATGAGTTCGCGTGCAAAATTAGCGCAGGCGTTTGGGGCAGACGTTGGCTGTATCTTAAATATGATAAATAAAATAAGAACTTATTGGCAATAATGCAGGGTGCTTTATGTTATTCTTTTACGCATCGGGGATATAACAAAATAATGAATGAAGCGTATTTATTCTGCAAGAACATTTTTTTCTGTTGACCTCTCTTGGCGAGCTTCTCGTTTTCGGCGCTTACGCTCAATATCTACGTAAAAATAAGCGCCAAAGCGAGGCAATTATTGGGAGAGTAAAAGTTAATAGCTGACTTGCGCAGACTGAATACGGAAGCTGAACCACAACAAGTTGTAAAAGTACAGTAGTAGGGTCAGAATGGGAGGGCAACCGAAAAAAGTGTAGTTTAGTCTGTTTGCTGTTATTGATAGTAATATTAAAGTGCACCACACCAGAAAACAATGGCGCGAATAATGGAGGTGTTTTTACGAATCCCTCCTCTGTTTACGTTAGATGTGATTTTGAACCATAGCGTTTTGAGTGTGATCGTTATGTATTTGTTACCGGCTGACGTTCATTGGTATCATGTTGCTTTTCTTTTTCTTGCAATAGTCGCAGGTAAGAGCTCGGCGTCTTTTAAAACTTAATACATAGACACTGTTTCTTTTAACTTAAAATATATGTATTTGATAAGTATGACTGTGATAAATCGGATCTAAATCTAATGTTATTTTCTTTAGACTAAGCATCTGTATTAATATTTACTTTACTTACAAATTGAAATGTTCTGAATGCATTGTTGTAAATATGATAATGGACTTTTTATCATTTCTAGAATAGTCATACAAAAATGAACAGATTGAGTGAAGTTATATATATCTCATATAGCTAATGTGTCACTTTTTACTTTCAGTTTTCATTGGGGCGGCAATGCTGTTTTTTATGAGCAAACAACATCTTTTGAACACGTATACATACATTGGATCACTGGCTGTAATTTATAGTTCACTTGCATGGAACAGAAATTATATAAACACTGAAATCACACGTGACTTTGGCAATGAACAATTGCATCATGTTATCCTTGGAAACTGGAGGACATTGCTAGGAAATATAATGTTACAAATAGCAGCTGCATATGTTTGGAACAGGCAGCGAATGATCCCGCGGCATGTTAAACGAGAAATTGCTGTTCTTCTTCCTTGGTACAACAGAGTTATATATTTTATCCTTATTTCCCCCACTGTGGCAAGACTTGTCATATTTCCAAGGGTAATTCTGCTGTGGATCCCAGGAGTATCAGCTATGATATTGATACTTGAAATAGCTTTCCTTTTAACTCTGCATGTACGCTCTATTGCACGTGTCGTATATGTCAGTCTTAAAAATGCTCAGAACACAATTAAAGATGTTGGACTGCAAATTTTCTTAGAAAACCATTGGATTCGTCTTCAAGTTCCATTAGTGCTGAGAGTCTTTTGGCTGTGCATGCTACTGCAAGAGTTAATGACAAAACTTATTTTACTAGAGAACAGAGATTCAACTTCTGCATTTGCTATAGACAGTTTAAATGAACTTGTTCAAGATGTTACAATCAGAGGTTGTGCAACCATTGTGGCAGTGCTAGGGATGACTAGCTGTGTCTCTTATATTACTCATTACATTGGAATATTTATGGCCTATCTCATTCAGTCAGATAATGAAGAGGACCGCAGCATGGGAACTGTCTCTGCCATTCTGTTTTTCATTCTGGCATTACAAACTGGACTCACCAGCTTATCACCGGAAAAGAAAATTCAGCGACTTTATCGGAATTTCTGTTTGCTGGGCACAGCCATTTTGCATTTTATTCACAGTATGGTGAATCCACTCATGATGTCATTGAGTGCACAGAGAAACATGGCTGTACATAGGCATGTACGGGTATTAGCAATGTGTGCCTTTCTGGTCATAATCCCTTCCTGCTTTTTGTTTTACCTGTGGAGTGTTCATAGTATTAGCACATGGATGTTGGCAGTAACAGCATTCTGTGTAGAGGTTGTGATTAAAGTGGTCATAACATTGATGGTTTATTCATTATTTATGTTTGATGCCTACCGGGATACTTTCTGGGAACAGTTGGATGACTATGTATATTATATTAAGTCTGCTGGCAGCACAATTGAATTTTTATTTGGAATTTTTTTATTTTGCAATGGTGCCTGGATTATGGCATTTGAGTCTGGTGGTACAATCCGTGCAATTATGATGTGCATTCATGCATATTTCAATATCTGGGTACAGGCCAAAGAGGGTTGGAGCACCTTTATGAAAAGAAGGACTGCGGTTAATAAAATTAACTCCTTACCTGAGGCAACTAGAGAGCAGTTAGAAAATTTCAACGATGTATGTGCAATTTGCTATCAGGAGCTGAACAATGCAAAAATTACCAGGTGTAATCATTATTTCCATAGTTTATGTCTCAGAAAGTGGTTGTATGTTCAAGAAAAATGTCCATTGTGCCATAATGTAATATATAATACTGAGCAAAGGACAACAGGGACTCAGACTGAAGAGAACAGACCTGATGGGCAGGAAGGCCAGGATGCGGTTCCTCAGTGAATGCTCTCTGAACTTCACCTTTTGAACCTTTTTTTTTCGTGACTGAAAGGTATTTTTGTCCATTTGATAGTGACTAATTTTTGTGTGATAATTCTCAGAAACAGCAAGAAAAAAGACTGGCGGGTAATTTTAAAAAGCACTGTGAACTTGCTGCATTTAAACTCCAGTATTGCATACTGAGAGGAAATTAAATGGGCTTAGACATTTTTTTTTTTTTGAAGAGTAGTGTATGTAACAGTGACATATAGCATCACATTGGATTTACAATGAATTCTAGTAAGCCAAAAATTACTATTTTTCAAAGGAATGGATTTATATTTCACTGTAATGCAATGAAATTGTAACGTCTGAAATGAGGCAAATGTAACCTTATTTATGAGTTGTGATATGGATTTTATGATATAAAAATATTTAGACTGAAATTAAAATATTTACACCATTAAGAATTTTTGTTATATGTGTTTTGATTATTGAAAAACTACAACCATTGTTTCAGATGTTTATAAAGTTGACATTGTTAGCATGTTAATAAAAAATAACTGCAAACATTGTTATGTTGATAAAAAACAGGTCTTATAATAGTTCAATGTTGCTAAAGGAACTTATAACACTTTTTAATACATGTAGGCTGCAGCACAAGATTTAAAAAATGTTTTGATAATATTTTTGCTTGTTTGGAACCAATATGATAATTTTTTCAAATGCATCATTTCATCCTTCCCTCAAAATGAAATCTATTAGAAAAACAAAATTATATACAGTTAAACAGTGTGTGGCATTTGTTTTTCAAATAACTAATGCTATTTGTGCCTCAATGAAGCAATTTTCTGAGTTCTGTAAAGCATGCTTGGCTGTTGCTTTGATTAGTAAATAAACCTAAAACACTATAACAAAAGAAAATAAAATATGTCAAAAACAGGTCAACTATTTGACATCCTGAACCTAACAAGATGGCAGCTGTTAAATGCTGTTTCAATCATTGCTTCAAAAGTTTATTAATTTTTAGAAAGGTATAGATTTGTTTTTCATACATGCAATCATATATGTTGGTCATTGCAAATAAGGCCAGGCAAAATGTTTGTAAACAATATACAAAAACACTGTTATAACTCCTTGCTATCACTAAGTTTTTTTCCTCGCCATTTTTCAAAAATTAATTATTTTTATTTTTCAAATGGAAAAATGCCTTGATTATTGATTTGGTTAGAAGAAAAATGACACCAGGCAATACATAATGCTATTGTTTGACCCCCCCCCCCCCCACCC